GCGTTTGCAACAATGTGCAATTTTCGGGAGCGTCTCGAGGCAACAAAGTTGCAAAACGGTGCCCCCGTGCAACAATGTGCGTTTTTGGAGAACAATTCCCGGCAACAATGTTGCAAACGCGATAACACGTTTGCCATAATGTGCATTCGAAAATAATCCGAGTTAGCGATGTTACAAGTGAGAATGACGCTTGTAACAATGTTAGATTCAAGCGTAGTGCTTGTAACAATGTTTGCGTTCGAAATAACGCTTCTAATAATGTTGCAATCAGAAATAGAGATTCCAACAATGTTTGCGTTCAAATATAACGCTTGAAGCAATGTTGCGTTCAAAAGTAACACGTAGAACAATGTTTTGCATTCGAAATAGTGCTTCCGTCGATGTTGCATTCGAGAATAGAGACTGCAACAATGTGTGCATTCAAGTGTCAAAGATGAACAGTGAAATAAAAGTATCTTGCGACTTAAAAATCACTGCTCAACGATATAAAAGTTCTTATTCTGCAACCGTGTCCCACACCTTGATCAGTTTACAACCTCAACTCACACGGGAACAAAGGCTCCGCGCAAACAAAACGTCATTATACATTCTCAACATATTTCTCCACCCCTATAAATTACTCCTCTCTCTCTCTCTCTCTCTCTATATATATATATTAGTTTAGGAGTTATTTGGATATATTGGCGAGTTCCCTATTTGTCGTACTCGTGTATAGTCAACTGTCATAAACAATTGTTAATATCTAATAATCCAGACAACTTACGACTACCAAACTAATTGCAGAATGTAGATAAAAGTCCATTCTACATTCTACATACTTGAAAGTGCATAATTAGTTTCGCACTTCTATTGAAATAACGAAAATATGTTACGCTTGAATGCGACGGGTGTAAACGGGAATAATACGTTTACGGTTTTTCAATAATTTCATAGCTTTCTAATAAATTCCCATGCAACTAACTATATTCATTTGAAAGGCAACTCCCTTAGCTACATTCTCATCTAATTTTTATTAACATGTTCGATTTAATTAAAGAGTTATTCAACATTTTTTAGGTGAGTATTACATCCGTCGTATTCAAACGTAACATATTTTCGTTATTTCAATAGAAGTGCGAAACTAATTATGCACTTTCAAGTATGTACAATGTAGAATGGACTTTTATCTGCATTCTGCAATAAGTTTGGTAGTCGTAAGTTGTGTGGTTTATTAGATATTAGCAATTATTTATGACAGTTGACTACACTCGAGTACAATGAATAGGGGACTCTCCCGTATAATGCTTAATAACTCTTAAATTAAATCGAATATATTAATAAAAATTATATGAGAATGTAGCTAAGGGAGTTGCCTTTCAGATGAATATAGTTAGTTGCATGGGAATTTATTAGAAAGCTATGAAATTATTGAAAAACCGTAAACGTATATAATCGTAAAGGGTATCAGTCCTGACATCACGTACTAAAATTGTTAATAACTAATTATTGAAAAGGTCTACTGCATTGAAAGCTATATGTGAAAGTTGCTAAAGGTCCATACTACATTCTTCAATCTTAAAAGTTCACAAAATCATCGTAATTAATGAGTTATTAATGATTTTTCACCGGCCGAATTAATTTAGCTCGTAGGAGGTGGAGCATGGAGGCCCATCAGCCAATAGGAAGCATCTTCTCTCTATCCTTCTCGGACAGTAGTGCGTTCCTTGTCTAATACCTCTGTTGACATTCTGTGTTCCTAGTAACGAGTAGTTAGTTCGCGCAGCCAAACGCGAGATGGAGTTAATTTCGTTTTGAAAATTTTCTGTCATTGTCTACCGCTATTCCTTTCCTTGTCTAACTCATTTCTTTAGTGCTATCCTTGTCATCCTTATTAAATTTAATAAATACTTATAATTAATTTTTAATTGCTTTAACATTACTCATAATGTAGATAGTAAAATACAATTCCTGGCTTATTTTGAAGTACTTTAATTATAGAATAATTAATATTTCTTGTCAAGAAACAGTTTATATGGTTGTTTATAATTATTACAAGCCTTAGATAAAATTATTGCATGCTTTCACTTAATAAAACAGCTTAATATATTAATTTTACATTGTATTAATCACTGTATTCAGTGGATAAGTAAGAAATTGTTTATGATAATTTCAGGAAAACAACATCAGGAAAAATGTTATAGTACATTGTTATATTTGTTTATTACAGTATAAATGGAATACACATTTGAAGAACTGTCAAACTTAATAAATCTTTTTCCATGCTCTTTTTTTTTTCATACAAAAAACTATTGTATTTTTATTATTCGAGAACCATAATGTTAAATATTGTAAGGTATGAAGAATACAGGTACAGAGCGGGAGCGACGTGCAGCTCACGTGCCGCCAGTTTGGTACAATAATAAGATGAAGATGAAACGATAGCAGTGAAGTCAAACAATTATAATAATAAAACTATGCATAAATAATATAGTATTTTTAATGTTTTCATACAATTTTATAAAATTTTTCATACAATCAAACGTTTGTAAATAATAACCCATTCAACAACTTTTTACTTTATTTTATTAATTATTTGAATAGTTCTAATTACATTATAATGCAGTTAAATAAATGAAAAAAAATTTATGTATCTCGTTACATTTACTAGTAAAACATTTATATATGTATATTAATTGAACTTATTTCGAGGAATGTAAAGTAGCTTCCTACGATCAACAATATCTTCTAAGGAATTCAAATCTGGTAAAACAGGTGGGAGTTGAAAATGAGTACTTGACCATGTTGTCTGTGTAAAATCTCTAATGGGAGGCCATTCTTTCGTATCATGTATTGGAGTATAGTAAGATTCTGTTGATGTTGAAATCTTTGGATAATATGGATCATATTCTAATTCACCTGGTATTAAAGGTTTTAAAGATAATGTCAAAGCATACACAGGTAATTCTGTGGTGCTTATTACAATATTTGCTGCCATAGTAACAGGAATTTTTGTATTTTTTTGTATAGATTTCAAAGTTTCTAAATAATTTCTATGGTTCGCAGAAGATAACCTTAAAAAATCATTAGGACTCCTTGTAGACTGATGGTTCTTTATATTATTTTCTTGATTTTTAATACTCTCAGAGAATGTATTCGGTGGTAATTTTAGAAAATTATACAAAGGATTATTTATATTTTTATTTAAATAACCTTCTTGATCCATTTTTTGCTTTTCATTAAATTTATCTTTACTATAAATACTTTGACTTGGAATAGAAAAGTTAGCATTTTTTTTTAATCCACTTTCTTGACGATTATTTATTGTAGGCATATATTGTGCTCTAGTATTTATAGAATTATTAACAGAAATACTTGTAGTAAAATTAATATTATTTAATGGCTGAAATGAGTTCATTACTTTAATTTTAGCTGTTTCTGTCGTATTGAAATTTTTCAGAAATCCTCTTGGATTAAAGACAAATCCATGTTGCATTTTATTATTTCCTTCCACTGCTTGTGTAACATGAAAAGATTGAAAGAGAGATTCACTTTTCGCTGCTATGTTTTCTGAACAACAAGAATTATTGGTTCTGTTTTTTTCAATGCATTCTTTTGCATTAGAGGAAATATGTCCTTCACAATGGACAAGATGAGCATGATCACATATCAAAGCATCTTGTCGAAAAGCAGTTTCTTCTGGACAGTGATAAGTAAATTTATTTCCATATTCATCACAGGTATGGTATATTTTACAGTGAGCATTAACATCAGCATAAAATCCAGCAGCTCTGTTGAAGCATGAAAAGTTTGTCTTCATGGAAATTACAATATTCTGAAACCAATGCAATAGTTAAAATTGTAATATATCTGTTATTAAAATTAAAGTACTTAGTAAAGTCCTATTAAAGTTTTTCAAAGTCTTATTAAAGTCTTTTGTTATAGTTGTAATTGTATATGCAAAGATATTCAAAAAGTTACTTATACATGACTGTATGTAAATGTTCAAAACTACTTAAACAAATATAAAAGTTAGTTTAATGTTTTCAATTCAAACAGAAAAATAACAAACAGAATTTTTAATGTCCTTTAGTATTTAAGTTTATAATTTATATTTACTCAAGATGTCCTATAAATTATTCCAAGCTTATGTAAACAATTATACAGTATAATATTGCATCTGTGAATTAACATCCATTATGCAATTAAAATACAATAATAAAATTACATCCACAGATTTATATACTTTAACACTTAACAGTACAAATTTTGTATAGAATATAATCTACAATATAAACAGTAACAATGTTAGAAAAAGCAAACAAAAAAATGATAGATGACATAGTTAATAAACTTTCTATATAAACAAATGTAAAATTGAATAGATTGTTGAATTTCTACATATACTATAAAAAATGAAGTAAATTACCTTAAATGGTATGATTTAATGAAAGGAATCCAATTAATGTATTTAAATTTCAGTTTATTATTTTAATGGCTTTACTTATGGAAATATACATATGTATCCTGTTATGTTACAAATTCTACTAAATTGCTTCACAAATGATTAATTCCAGAATTGAATTTTTACTTGTTTCATAATTAAAATTATGACTAACAATAATTCCTCAGATATTTTTATTAAAATTTATTACACAATGCTCCTTGAACTTTGCACAAAAAGTGACGATTTCAAACTTGTAATATAGTAACATTCTCAAATACTTACAATAATCTCAAAATGAGTGTGTAAAATAAATATTATATACTGCAGAATAATTTCAAAGAACGAGTTCAAACGCGCCATTTTTATAATCACAAACAGAAATTCGAAATATTTGTCCACTGTTACGAAGTCACTAATTTATTTCCATTGTTGCTTGTACCTTTCGTTGAATAAACTGGTAACATGAAAGTGAAATGGTCACGCTTAGAATGTAGGCCTGACCTATGCTATTCTTCCCTCTCTCTCTCTGCCCTCCTCTCTCTTTTTTTCCCTCGTGCCCTCTTTCTCTGATGTACCTTCTTTCTTGTGCAATAAACACAATGTAACTATGAAATTCCCGGACTGATTCAATATAATTTGCATAGTCGGCGTTACAAAAGATTATTATACAAATTTCTTTAACGCAGACTCCTCGTTAACTTCTGCAAATTTTATAGCAGTTACAGTTATTACGAATTATAGTTACTACGACGGTAACAATTTGGAGAACGTTAAAAACTTCTGAAAATGTTTAAAAATCTTGAAAACTTCCTTAAAATTGAGAAAACAAATTGTATAAAGATTATTTTCGGCGGTCTAAATTTTTAATCAGAACTTGTTTTACAGCTTTTCCATTAATATTACGACTTTGTCCAACGGACTTTTGTTCATTTGATACCATTTAAGTGGATTTCTAGGCTGAAAAGGTGTTTCATAGACGCAGAAACTCTGTACTCTTTCTAACGATTATTACATGTACACTTTTCTCCAAGTTCCAGCGTAATTGCAGCAATTAGCAGTTCAGGGGGTACGAAACGAGTAAAGAAAGAGTAATGAAATTTAGATGAAATTAGTTAATGGTAGTTTATTATCTGAGAACATATGCGTGTGGCTAAACTGGCAGATTGAAATCGGGCAATTTACACACATTAAAGGGCAAGCGATTTACACACCTGTAAAATTACGCCAAGTCGCAACAGGTCGACCAATCGAGCACGATGTTTTAATTTTCACTATACGGTAGTTAATGTGTTTTGTGTACAGGCCATCGAGAAGAGAAGAATGGAACGTTTATAATTATTTATTATCTTTAAACTACTATTTACTCGCGATTACTCGTTCACAAACAATTACGATCCGATCCGAGCGAGAGATGCATGTTACATTTTCGACGTTACCACACGATCATCAATGCGGTTTAGTTTTACAATTAAAAGTATGTATCGTGAGTAGAAAAAATATTTCTCGTCGATGTTACAAATATTTGACGCGGAAGCGTTAACTTTTATTCGAAATTCAATACAAAGAGGAGAATGTACGCGGTATAAATTGAACATTTCGTCGTACTTGAATTTCTATTCAAATTACAATATAACGTCCATTGTTTATACTTTGTAACATCAAATATTTGCGACTGTACAACGTTAGGAAGAATTATAATAACAAAGTCTACATTATACCCTTTCATCGTCGAAGTAATAATCATATTTACAGTAAAACACACTTTCGCATACAACGCACTAACCATTTATTTGACACAGTTCCTGCTTTCGAAATTGTATTTCGAACGAACAAGCCAATCGAGTATCACGATATTCTAGATACTACACCGGGAATATTAATGGAAGTAGAAAATAACAGTAACGAAGAAAAATCTCTAGTAAAAATTAATTACCTTAATCGCTCGTTAACGCTTTAAACAAAGGATTTACGACATTCTTCGGCGATACGACTGTATCGTACTTAAATTTCCAATTTCCAATTCGTCGAAACATTTCTAGCTTTATACGTCTTTCGCGTGAAAGTTGATATGTTTAATTTTTCAGCAGAAAAAAACAAATGTACAGTAACATGCATTGGTTTAACGAGTTTCTTTGAAAATAAATGAAAATATATTTCCATCGAGTATTATTCTTCTTGCCAGATCTGAGTGTGTCACGTTTGGCTATTCACAATGCATGTCTGTTTGTATTTTTTTCTTTTCTTTTTTCTTTTGTTGCGATACCGTATACAACGCACACTAACTTATTGCATACGATCGTTTATTCGGCAGTTTTCGTCCATTGTAATACTGATCCGTTGCAACGTTGAAACGCGTTCTGGCAGATTCTCGCATACACGATGCGAAATAGTGTGCAGTTGAGATTTCCAGGATGTTTCGATGAGTTTCACGGCGAACTGATGATCCAAGCTCGTAGAAGAAGAAAGCTGGCGATCGTGATGCAGAGGTTCTTCAATATTTCGTGGTGATTCGTACGCGCCGCGTTCCATTGGTCGTGGTGGACCGCTGCTTGTTTCTCACCTACGATACCAGTGAATATTTTAGTTAATACGAGTATTAGTTAATACGAGTGTTACAATGTCGTGCAGTAGTCGAACGTGAAAATAGAAACTTAAAATGGTGATTTTTATAAAATTGAACCATATGACTTGAGCTTTGTTCGAGAAGTTAGAAGGATTAGTTTACTAGACGACGTGTACCAAAAATTCACATAAATTGACATAAAAGTTGTAAACAGCGACCTTTACCATTTTCTTCGCGATTCCCACAAATTGCAATCTTTTCAAAGATTTTTTCAAAACTAATCGTTCTAACTTCTCAACAAAACTCAAGTCATTTGGTTCAATTTAACCCTAGAGCGGTCTTCGTTTTGACTGTACACTTAAGACTTTTGGGTGGAAAAGAACCTGAGACCTTATGTGTAACAATTTTTGTTTCCAACGCGACATATGAACCTAGACAATAAACGTTTAAAATAATGTTAAGGAACGTAAACTTGATAACAGCAAAAATGACTAAAAATATAAAAAGGCGGTGGGTCAAAAAAGACCCGAACACCGCTCTAGGGTTAAGAATAGTTATACTGTTCTAAAAGTGGCCGGAAATTAACGACCGCAGCTGTGTATTTCATCCTTTCTTTCATATTAAATAATTTTCATGCAATTGCAAACTGAAGAGAAATTATTTAAACAGATTTTGTAATATACAGAGTGGGCCACCCAATTGTATGTTCTCTAGGTATGCTGGTACGAGAAAATATTTACACGTAATTTAGATGATTTTAAAGAGTGAACAAGATGGAAGAAAGATTTCTCTGATTGAAGAAATGGCAAAAAATGAAAGAAAGTTTCACATTCGATTCAAAATTTTAGAGTCAAAGGTCATTTTAAGGCCACATTATTATGCATTTTTAAATGCACATCAATGTCTGCTACAATATACCGCGGAAAAAAAAATATATATATATATATGGACACTCGTGTAAAAAAATATAGGTGACCTTGAAAGAAACAGAAGAAATGGCATTTATAAGAAAGTTTGTCTTCCATCTTATTCACCCTTTGAAATCATTTAAATTACGTCTAAACATCTTCTCGCGTTACCACAGCTAGAGAAGATAATTAGATGACCTGTTTTACGTAGCTCAGCCTGTATACCGATATTCTTATCGATAACATATTTGCAAAAATATGAACAATAAGTAGGTCTTACGAGATTAAATACATTGAAACAAATCTGTCGACGCTTTAACGCAGTATTATAATACAAATTGAACATTTATTCGTCTAACATCATTGCGGAATTAAACGTTTAGCTTCATATTAGTAGAACTGCCCCTAACATTTTGTAGAATTTTATACTTCAATTTACTTGGTAGTGTACCCAAAGTTCATTCAATTCAATTACACTTTCACACGAGCAATTAATTCTTTAGGATTACAATTACCTAAAAGTTGGCATTGTTTCAATTAGCTGCTCGTTATGCTTAAATTATAGAAATTAAGTAAACGTCAAATTATTTCACGTGCACATGGTTTAAATGCAACAACGTATATTCATAAAAATATAAAAAATTCTATGCAATTTATGCGACAAATTAAACAAACTTACAGAGCAAATACCCAAAGTTCGATAGAATAGCTATGAAACTTCATCCGATAGTTTTCTTCACAAACGCAATTTCGTTACAATTTGTTGCAAGGTAGCATCGCAATTCGGTATCGCGTTTTCTCGTTACATTTGTCGTTGTGTCGCCGAGTAATGCACTAAACGTGATAAAAGTTGCAACGATAAGGTTTGATAACGAACACTAGACACCCGACCGTTATTATACTGCACGTTATTATTTAAACGCTGCACTGCAAACACACCGGGAGAGATTACGCGTTATGCACCGGTGTCAAAAACTCAAAATCGAGGAAACGCTTTTTACGAGCGACCATTAGCGGTTGGCACATGTCACCGGTCGCAATGTTCCGTCGAATATTTTTCCGGAGATTTTTACGTCTAGTGAGTTACGCGGACAGTAGTTGCATGTGCATTTATGCCAAGGTACGTATTGTACGTGTTTGGATGCATTCTCTCGTGTCAGGGATACGAATTGCTTTAACCCTTCCGGAACGAGTGTTGATATCGTGAAGTGAAGATATCGCAACTAAAGTGTGACATATAAGATGGACCACGTGAAAAGGGCTACCTAATTATCTTCTCCAGCTATGGTGATACGAGACAATTTTTAGACGTAATTTAAATGGTTTCAAAGGGCGAATAAGATGGGTGAATAAATTTGATTTAAAATTTTAGAGTCATATCGTTAGGCATGTTTAAATGCACACCAATTTCTACTACAATGTACAATAGAAGAAAAGAGAAACAGAAGAAAATGGAATTTATAAAAAAATTTGTCTTCCATCTTATTCACCCCTTAAAATTTGGACAATTAAAGAAGTCAATTACGGTTAGATACTTTGAAAAGGATATTAATTGTAAAGTACACTATTAATACAAATGGTGATTAGTTTTATGAAGAAATTTTAGATAATGAAGAATTATTGAAGACGATTTCCTCGTCAAATAAATATATGTAACTATTGTTTAAATACTAGTTACTTAAGTATTAAGTAATCATTGTATTTAGTAATAAAAATGTAGAGAGTTTGATTTGTTTATTCTTCCAAATTCGTCAAATACTAATTTGATTAAAATTCTATTTCATTACAGTTGCGAAATATGTCTGTTTTTCTTTTTTAATAAAAATATACCGAATTTGCCTTGAGAAAATCTGGTCAGTTCAGGTATAACACCATTATAATAATCGTATTTGCACTGAGCGTTCAGTTTGCCGAAGACGAGATACGTATCATCTCGTACTTTAACAGATCGTTAAAATTTCTCTCTCCTCCTTCTCATCAGATACAGCCTGAATAAGAATTCTAACTGAAATTATATTATATTTCGTTTATCCACTCTCTCCGTCTTCACATTTACACGAAACCGTTATAACCTTTAATTCAATTTACCATTCAGGACGTGAATATGCACCGCGGCGGTACTGAATTGGCTCACTGAGCACGAGTATTCGCCGCTGTCAGTCTTTTTCGCCTGTTCGATGTACAGCTTGGTCACCAGATCTTCGTTCGACCTGAAAAATCAGTTGTCATGTTATACATCGGACGTACATGTACATACCTATCGGTATTTTTTCCAAAAACCCGCTGAACGTTCACCCTCGTCGAACCACGGACCCGCCGAATATCCTAAAAAATTCAAACGAATTGCAGACTATATCGACTTGCTTTAACAACCTATTCAGGCTCGCGGAATATTTAAATCAAGTACGATCCGATCTGAATTTCATAGCAAAATGCGAGCCCTTCATTTATCTCATTGTTCTCGCGTAGTTTTCCTCGCTGAATAATACAGATACAGGTAAGTTTAAGGGAGAAGGGTATTTAAGGTTCTGAAATACAGAAAGATTAACAACAGAACATCTCGAAGTGTCAATCACCGATATCGATGTATCTTTGGTACGTAGTACTTCTCAAAAAAAAAAAGAAAATATTCGACACGTATTTCTTTTGTATCAGCAATCGTCCACGTTGAAGGGGTGAAAGTGGCCCTCAAAAATGAGGGTAATAAACGCATTGGGTCAAAATTATTTCTTATTTTTTATTTTTATTTTTCATTTATTTCTTATTTTTTATCTTTCAATTGACAAAATTCGTCAATTTACACTGTTCATCTATTCCTAATAGTTTTCGAGATATTAGATAGCTGCTATCTCTAACTTTGAGGGCGATTTTCACCCCTTCGTTATGGACGATTGTCGATATAAAAAATACGAGAACCGAAATTTCATCAATTTCGGCGATTATCACTTCGGGACGTGGCCCACTAAGTTCTAAGTTCGGGTCTTTTAATTGTGCCTGTGTAGCAGCTAAGACGAAACGCGTTAATAAGCAAAAGCCTCGTTTCGTCGGTGAAACCGAGAGTCGGAGAAGCCGAAAGCCTTGCAGTATAGATTTCGTAACGAATTTCAATGTCTCCATTGAATTTAACACGGAATACTAATCTAAAGCTTCGTCGAATTTTAATCTCAAAGTTCGGCTTAATTAACTTGTTGACGTTTGAAAAAAGATTCGTATGAATTTTCGTTTATATCTCGTTTCTTTATTTTACACCATTTTCATAATAAGTTTTCTTCGAAATGAATTGCTAATTTCATAATTAGAACGGTAGGGAAGTTGATTTGTTACGGAGCTTTCGTTCGAAATATGTGCTTCTTGTTAGATAAAGTTATGCAAATTTCATTAGACTCCCAGCATTGTGTACTAAATCATAACAATCTTCCTATACACAACAGATCCCGACTAAAACTTGAAGGATGGGACTTCACCGTATTTAGAGAAACCATCGAGTTCTGATCTGGCAATTTAGATGCTGTTCAAGTAGACAAACTCAGACCAAAATTTCACCGCAAGACAGGTTGACCAGTATTCAGACAAACAAGGATTTTCATTATACAGATCTAACATTTCGGTTAGTTAGCAAGATTAATTTTCTCATTTCTAGGCACACTGTGATCTTTTCTAGGAATCCATTTTACATAGAATCAACTTTCTCCATAGAAAAGTAACAGAATAAAACGTTATCAAATGAACAAACACCAATAACTTACAATTATCGAACAGTAAATGCTTCATCTATTTTTTGAGAAAATCTTTCACGTACAACTCCCACATTTCCGATTAATATTTACGTTGGCAACTATAGGAAACGCTGAATTCGGCGAGAATGACAAACTTCACTCTGTCGAGGTCGACATAAAACTTCGAATTTGATAAACCAAGTAGGAATTTCATCGACTTGTACCAAGTCAATTCCATCAACTCGCACTTTTGAGATAACTGTAAAGCACGCGTCGATTTTAGGCCACCGATGCCAAAACAAACTATCTAGCCAGTCGACGATTACACCCTGACGAGCTTAATTTACCGACAAAGGCGGAAATTAACGGAACATCGAGGCGAAAACGAATGTACACGTCGGGGGAGCGAAAGGGGATGAAAATGGCAAGTTGGAATAGAAATACCGATCGTAAAGGGATTGAGCGTCTCGCGGAACGCCTCGAGGGAGATTAAACGGTTCGCTCGTTATCGGGGTAAGCGTGTTGCGTGGCTCCTTCGCCAGGGAGAGACGTGCTCGATCGCTCAATCGCGCGTCGATAAACGAACGTGAAATCGGAACGCGGTCTATCTGTCAGCGGTATCCGTCGCGATCCGTCGTTCCGCCGCTGCTATATGCTCACCCATTAATGTGATAAACGTCGACGTGATCCGGCAACGTCTCACCATTTTTCCTCCAGACGGGATGCGGTATCCTGGAGTCAGGACAAGAAGGTCGGGCGACACACGCCAGCTCGATACCGCTTCCGGTTTTATAGTAGCGATCCCGTAGCTCGTGTCTGGCCTCGTCCACAATTCTGATATCCGGAGCTGGAAAATGAACGTGACCAGAGAATCTCGCGTCACCTAACTGACACCACGGTTCTTCTCATCTTTTTACTATTTTTATTAACTACTACCTGTTTATAAAGAAGAAAAAGAAAACGTTCAGTGGATTTGTGTAATTGATTTTTAGGGCAGGGAGGCAATTTCCACTGGAAAAGTCCTCGCTGTTTGAAGGTTTAGTTTTTTTTTATCGGTTCTGCTGAAGGTTCCTTGGATGGATCCTCTGCAGTCGCCTGGGTATATGTTAGCGGTTGGTACTTGCTCTTGCTAGTCTGTTAAGGTGGATTGTATAGTCGATGGAAGCGATATAGCGAGGTCGTAAAATCAGTCAGGCGTCAAAGTGCACGTAATGTCACCTTTCATCGATGCCGGTAGTTATTGATAATTCGAATGGGTCCACGGTCAAGAAGTCAATGCGTTGGATATTTTTCACAGTGCTATGAACGATGAAATACGTATAGTTGGTGGAAGCGTTATAACGAGGTCGTAAAATCAGTCGGGCGTCAAAGTACACGTAATCCAAGCGGCAAAACAGGGATTTGAGGGAGATAACGAGCTCGAGCCTCGCTTAGGGTCGTTCCACGTCAACTTCGAATTGGTTCTTCCGTTGTAGTGCATTTAAAAAATTTGTCTGCGTCAATAATCATAGCTGCAGGATCATTTTTACCAATACGGGAATTTCTATTGAGCTTTAATTTACGACCTCGCTATATCGCTTCCACCAACTATACTTCTGTTTCTATATCTGATTGTGTGTCTCTGTATTTCCACTTTAACTGCCGGTATGTTTCGACACTTTTTTACGTCTGTGTTTCTTACAAACCATGGGGCATTGATTATCATCCGTAGTGTTACCGATTGCAGTGCTTCTAATTTTGTTACGTGGTTCATAGCTCTGGTTCTCCATGACACTATGGCGAGTGGTGCGTTCCCTCATCGAGTTTGGCGAACATTAAGTTACGAGATTCTTCTGCTCTGTCACGTTAGAG